CCGCCTCGGGGTACGAACCGGATTGGCGGCCATTTTCCACCGTGACACGTGGTCCACGGCCATTTTCTGCCCGTGCCACGTGATCCGCGGCCATTTTTCCGCCCGTGCCATGTGGTCCGCGGCTGTTTTTCTGGCCCTGCCGCATGGTCTGCGGCCGTTTTCGCGCCGCACCGTGCCGGGCCATTTTCGCGCCGCACCAGGCCGTTTTCGCATCGGGCCGTTTTCGCGCTGCGCCGTTTTCGCGCCGCACCACGCCGTGCCCGGCCGCTTTCCCACCCGACGCGTGGTCCGTGGACGCCAGAACGGATTAACGGTAATTACATTGAACCTTATGGGTAAATTTCCTTCGGGTTACGACCAACTCGGGATACGCCCAGAGTCACGGAACGGATTAAGTTCGTATCCCGAGGTACCACTGTACTTTCAATATTCTGCCTGTTAATTACATGGAAACGTACAGTGCATTTTTTGCGGACTGCAACCCACAGAGGTTACCTAGTAAGAACGGATTAACCGGATTTACATTGAACCCTATGGGGAAATTTGCCTCGGGGTGCGACCAAATTCAGAGGGCGGAACGGATTAACCGGATTTACATTGAACCCTATGGGGAAATTTCCTTCGGGTTACGACCAACTCGGGATACGCCCAGAGTCACGGAACGGATTAAGTTCGTATCCCGAGGTACCACTGTACTTTCAATATTCTGCCTGTTAATTACATGGAAACGTACAGTGCATTTTTTGCGGACTGCAACCCACAGAGGTTACCTAGTAATGAAGGCATGAATCTTTAAGTTACTCTGGGACTTTTTTTTATTATATTAACAAGGCAACATCCATAATTCCCTGAGTTTTTCCCATCCTATTTCATAGTTCAGTTGGGTTTGCTTTTACGATTCATGCACAGTGTTTGAATTAGGATGTAATCGATGAGCTTTCAGCTTGGCTTGTAAAAATCACCATTAAGTTTTTTTTGGGGGGGGTGCGGATGTCTGATGAGGAAGGTTAAAATCTTTGAATAAAAATGGAACACTGTCCTTGGTTTGTTTTTCTCCCTGGAACAGGTCGGGGCTTACGCTTCTGCTGTCCCTCCCGCCCTCCGAACAAAATTCAGTGGGATTGTAGAAGCAATGCTGGGGAAACTGAAGTTGGAAAAATACAATGGTTTTTACTTTGACCGGCGGGAGGAGAAAAAGCTCTGCCTTTGCACGCCAGAAGGCTGGTTCTCTTGCCAAGTAAGTTTTAAAAAAATCAAAGCCAATAAATAAAGCAAAGGCCTTGAGCATTTTTATTTTCCTTTTCTTTTTCTCGAGTGGCATTTAAGTAAAGCTTTCCAAAGACGAACCTTTGGTCAGGCAAGGCGGGGGCACCGGCGTGCCAAGGGTTTTCCAGGCTGGTGCCCACAGGCACTTGGTTGCCTACGCCAGCTTTACATAGGGGCAGTATCTGCTTGTATAACCTGGGATGGTCCCAGAGCAAATTGTTCCTAGTGCTGCTCTTTAAAAGATGACATATGGGGTCCGTACAGAAGAATAGCGCCCTACCTTGGCAGATGTTTGGAATGCCATGCCACCAGAAATCTAGCACGTCAAGGGGGCAGCTCTTAACACAGCCTGAGGAGCTACTTTGCTCCATGCAAGGGGTATGTGTTAAAATATGGGAGATGGCTGCAAAAATGACATCTATGATCTTCTCTGTCTCTCGCACGCACCCACACAGATGCGGGTAATAAGTATTCAGCTTTGTTTGACTCTGCCTGCAGGGCTCTTTTGACACAGAAAACTGCTCCTGGAGACACTCCATTAACCCCTATGGGAACAAAGAAAGCCGAATCCTCTTCAGCACATGGAATCTCGATCACGTGTAAGTCCTGGAACAAGATCCAGCCCGTTTGATCATTATTCTGGGCCCTCCTGATATATCGGCTGTGTAAATGATACATTCCTTGGATTGCGAGCTCCCTGGATCCAGTAATCCAGCTGGGTTTCTTTAGAAAACCCCTTTTTAGAGGTCTTTGAGGCATACCATTTTTTTTGCGGCTGCATGAAAGGATGTGGAAGAATTCCAAAAGTAACACTGGGTGGCAGAATTTCCTGAGCAAGGAAAGAGAGAAGGAGCATGGTGGTTGACTTCTTGCAGGACAACAGAACCTGAGATCTCTGAAAAAGCATCGATGCGTAGAGCTGCTGGAATCCTCCTCAATGTTGTTGTTATTTATTCAATTTATATGCCGCCCGACTCCCAGTGACGCTGGGAGGTTTACAAATGATTTAAAACATGAAAATAAACACAGTGTGGCCAAAGCTTTTAAAAGAGGCTAGACCAACTCAAGAAGGGACGTTGAATAGCTCTTGGCTGTTATGGCTGGAAAGGAACTCCATGTCCCAGTGCAGTCTACCTTAGAGAGGTCATTGGTTTAGGAGATGGGAAACAGGAGGCTGAGTTACTTGTCACTGAGGGTCAAGAAACAGCAGCAGTGAGAATCCATGCTTTTCTGTATTCTGAATTTTCCTGGTCTGAAGCAGAACACATTCAGCCCTAGTCTTCAAGACGTTACAAATCCCCCTGTCCTTTCAGGGACTAACATCAAGAGGGTGAAAACACTTAATGTTCCTTTCTCTTTCAGAATTGAGAAGAAACGGGCGATCCTCCCGACGTTAGTAGACGCCATTAAAGACTGTGACGGAAAGGAAATCAGCTGGGAATATTTTTACCAGCTCTTGTTCACCATTGACAATTTGAAGCTCGTGCACATCGTCTGCCACAAGAAAACGGTCCACAACTTCGGCTGCGACAAAAGAAAGATCTACTGTAAACGAAAACGCCTCCGCAAGGTCTGAAGGGGAGGCCTCTTTGCAGCCGGTTCCCGAGGCACCGGGTTCAAATGATGTTAGAAACAAAACAAAAAGATGCAATACTTTCCAAGGAATAGGACAGGGCTTTGGGTTTCCCTGGCATAGGGAGCTAGTTGCTGGGGCCCGCACCATCTCTCAGATCAAATCAGATTTTTAGTCCTTTGAAAGCCGAGCGCAGAACTGGAGGCTGGGCCCTGCCCGTTTCTCAAGGCCAGGGTCCTTTTGCCATTAGCACAGCGGAAGACGTTTTGAGAACTTTGGGGGAAATGCCGATGTTGAGGCTGCTACAAGGCAGTAGAGCTGAGCTTGGGCCGGCAGCTGCTTGGGGTGATGGACTTGGGAGAGAGGACCCTGAGCTGGTGTCTACACATACAGAAGGTGCCCAAGTTGACCTCATATAGAACTTGGCCTCAGAGGGCCACTTTTGTGATTTAAATGGTGCAAAAGCTTGTTTTTATTCCATTCCAATTTTTTTTTTAACAAACTGAATTACGGTGAATATTGCTGCCTGCCTGTTTTCCCCTTCCGTTCATTAAAGGCTGCAACCTGGTAGCCCGTTTTGGAAATCTGTTAAAACCCCACACAAGCTGGAATCTTGGCACAGACGAATTTAATTGCGGGGTCCAACGGATTGTGCAAACCCAGAAAACCCGGGTTCAGCAAGTTGCAGCCAGTGATACCAGCTTGCCCTGTTGGAGAAATCCTACCGGGATTCAAACAATAGCTTCCGATATCATGTCAGCTGGGAAACATAAGGTGTTGGAGCTTCGCTTAATTTTTTCAAAAAGGGGCTGGAGGCCATTTTGAGTATTTTGATTATCATTAAGCCCTGTTCTTGGGGGTCGCCATCCCTTACTGCAGGAAACTGAAGGTCATCCATCTTTGGACCTGCTCCTGGATTAAAGTGCCCGCGCGTTGAACTCTTTAGCCTGCCAGCTAGTTTATATTTTATAAATAAATTTTATTTTGTAATTTTGGCATTACTGATCTAGCTGCACCAACTCAGCCCTCAGGGATCATGATTATTTGGTTTTAATAATAAAGCTTTATTATTATTATGAACCCAGAGTCACTTTTTCTTGAGACGGGCGGTATCTAAATTTGAAATATAAATAAATAAAGGTGGTCCCTGAGGGCAGCGGGAAGCTAAATAATGTGAAATCTTGTAGCTAATAAAACTCTGAATGCTGATAGCAGAAATACAATTTCTTGAGCTCTGAAATGGGTCCCATCTTTTTATTCATATTTAAGGGCAGACTTAATCCAAACTGGAAGAGGGGGGAGACACACATGCGACATCTGCCATCTTTCTTTTTTTGACCCCCCCCCAATAACACTGTTCACACAACATACTAAAGTATGTTTTACTGTGCAATCCACAGCTACCCAGGTTCACAAGCCATAAACCCTGATGTTATAATGATCTTGACTGGCTTCACACAGGATGCCAAGCCACATAGTTTGTGGGGGGGCACTCAAGCCATTAGGTCTTATTTAGTATACTCATATCACTGAACCTAAGTTGATAGGACTAACAGGACAGACTCGGACTCAAACGTGCACTAGAGTGAGCTAGCAAGATATCCCTGTTATAGGTAGTCCTCACTTAATGACCATTTGTTTAACAGTAGTTCGAAGTTATGACAGCCTCAGACAAAGTTACGACTTGTACTTGCACTTACGACAGTCGCAAAGTGTTGTACCACCCCCAGCGTCACATGATCGCGATTTGCAACCTTTTTTGTGATGGTCGTTAAGTGAATCATGTGGCTGTTAGGTGAATTCCAGCAAAAAAAGTCCATCGGGGAAGCTGGATTTGCTTAATGACCATTGTAAAAATGGTCGTAAAATTGGGTCTGGTCACATGGTGACTTAACTGCCCCACTTAATGACCAATTTTCCGGTCCCTATTGTTGTTAAGCAAGAACTACCTGTACTGTTATAAAATGGGCAATATGTAGGCTCTAGTCTAACTTCAAAAAAAGCTCTGAATGAACTCAGAACCTGGTCATGAATGAGCTGCTCTTCTTAGATAAGGAGGGGAGTTGAACCCACGGGAAGGAGAAACACATGCTGTTCTCTTGAGTTTTTAAGAGGCCTGGGACTCCCAGATTTCTCAACTAACCATCCTACTGGGGGAAACTCGGCAGCTGCTGCTGAACAAAACGGGGCACCCAGTTTACGGAAAAATGGACATTTTCATGGAGCGACTGTCCATCTGTTAGCAGCTACGTGTGATGGATTGGACCCTCTAAAACAGGAAGAGCAGGATGTAAATCTAACGAAAAAGTACAAATTGCACAGGATGTGCCAAGATAGGAAAAAAATTCCTATTTGAAAGGCTCTGGCCTAACCCATTTCCTTTCTTCTACCCCTTTTGGCAGAACGCCTCTGTCCTGTTCTTTTTGACGCCAGGTGGAGAAAGAAAGGTTCCTGAATACAGCACTGACCTGCGAGCCAGGAGGGCACCAACATTTATTTAAGGACACAGAAGCAGGGCTGACAACACACCCTTCTGCTGCACGTTGCTTTGCAAAGAGCTGATGGCTATAGGATCCTGTAATCCCTTTAGTGCTCCTCAGAGATTGCCAAGTGCTCTCCCGGTCCAGATTTTTGATTCCCAAACCAGGCAGCCCAGAGTGCTAAGAGGACTTCAGAAAAAAGTGTCGTTCTTCCTCTTGAACATCAAGGGCCAAGGGTTCAGAAGCTCCTAATTCATTCATGGCCGGAGAGGATGTCTTTAGAAAGCGCTACAACCTCCGATGGTGGGGTGGAGCTAAAGCTTGTTTGAAGCCGGCATATTCCCTTGTCTGAAGAACAAGAGGCTCCCATTTGGGACTGTGGTCTTCTTCCACTGCATGCCCCCTTTCAGAAGAGATGGCCAACCAGATTGGCGGAATCAACCCAGGGGTGGCAGACGTCATAGCCAGACCACCTTCGGGAGGATCCCAAGCTTACAAGACAGTCTAGGTTCCTCCTTCCCATCACCGCAGGTCCCAGCGCTGAATGCGTTATCAAATTCTCATGGCTAACGCCAGACTGAGGGATTGCCTGTTTCCAAATCTGATCGGGACGTCCCAAACAAAGAAACCCACTGCCACGTGGGTGAAGAATTGCCCGTGTTTCTTATGTAACAGGGAGAGTTGTGGTTGTCGTCAGGTCAAAGGCTGCTGTTTTCTCTAAGACACGAATGGTCTCCTCTGTGGCACCAAGCAGGCACTGTGGCTGAGGGACCTTGCCAAAAATGGGCACCTTTGTCTGAGAGTAGCCCAACAGCCATACCACGGGGTGATTCTTTCTGAAGAACGCACCTTGAGAAGAGGCCACAATGGCAAGGAACACTTTTTAGTCTGTGTTGCACCTGGAAAACAGGCAGTAACATAAGATGGGCTCTTGCTGGCTTCAAATGACCTCTTCGTCACTGTCATCATCCTCATCTTTGGCAATGAAGTGCATTTTTCGGAACTCTCGCCTGCTGACGTTGGCCCGTGAGAGAGGAGCAGGTGGGAGATCCTGGAAGACAGAGAACCCAGTGAGCGCCTCGGCCCACTCACCTAGGTTGCTTCAGACCCAACTTGGAAGCCCTCCAGCTGCATGGACTTCAGTTCCCCAAATTCCCAACCGCTGTGGCCACTGGGAATTGATAATTCTGGTCACTGATCTCCGCACCGTTGGTGGGAAGCTAGCTAGAGGCCTCCAAACCTCCTTTAGAAAGATGGAAATTTAGGGCATCTGATCCACAGAGAAACATCAAGACAATGCGGAATTAGAAGCTTGGGCTTTGGGGAATTCCAGCTATCATTCAGCTATAAAAGCTTCTCAAAGGAAACTGGGGCCGTTGTTTTTCCTCCCATCCAACCTCCCAACAGACTAGTTTCCCCAACATTATACTGTATGCCATCCATTAAGATTTACCATCCGCTGAATTCAGTTTCACTAAAGGTCTCCTGTTGGATTTTGCAACAGGAAAAGTCTGCAGAACACCGAAGGAAGGCCTTCCCTTAACGAACCTAAAAGCCCACTTTTTAGAGAGGGGGCCCGGCCTGCCCCTTGGAGGCCCCGTGTGCCCTCTGGCCTGAAAGGGGCTTCACGTCTCCTCTCGTGGCTTACGATCGCTAGAGAGAGCAGCGGTTCTCCAGCCATCCCTAGCGGGAGGCCAATCCCGCTGCGTCCCCTGGGGCGTCCGCCCTGCTTCCTTCTTCCCATGGTTACCTGCGTGAAGGCCACGCTGCCGAAGAATCGGTCCATTGGCAATGGCTGGTTACTGTCCTCATTCAAGAAAATGCTGTTATCCAGCTCCACCGGTTGGTTTTGCATCCCCTCTGGCTCCATCTCCAAAGGGGTGGACAACCCGGTGGCGTAGATCCCCTCTTCTCCTTCCTCTTTGTCGCCATCTTCCTCCTCCTCCTCCTCCTCCTCCTCCTCCTCCGGGAGGTGGGTCTGGAAGGCATCAGGCCTGCGGGGCTCTGGCTCCAGCGGTTCCATGCAGAGGTCCCGGCGGTCCTCCAGCGCGTCTGTGGCTGCTTCGGGAGCCCCCTTCTCCTCGCTCTGCAGCATCATCCGGAGGCCCAGCAGCGTCGCCCTCGAGATGGCTTTCCCCGCTGGCCCACCATCGGCTCCTCTCTTCTCCAGCTTGGCCACGCTTCTCTTCTCACATTTTGGCTTCTTCGCAGGATGCCTGCCGGTCGCTTTGCGTGAAGGACCCTGTGGAAGGAGGAGGAGGAGGAGGAGGAGGAAGACCCTCAGACCACCGCGGGGAGCATTGACCAGTCAGAGTCCGCGGTCCCCGGCCGGCTGCCCTTCGGAGGTCCTGAGTGCCCAGAACCCCAAGCCTGCCCAGCACAGCTGGCCGGGCGCTCCGTGGCACCTTTCTGGGCTGCGCGTGGGGGCTCGTGGCGCCAGCGCTCTGCCCGCCTCCGCGAGAGACGGTGGGCTGTTTGCGACCCGGCTGACCCTCCAGCTGGCGCCAGTCCAGCGCGGGGCATCTGGCAGGCGGCCCGCCTGTTTCGCTCGTTGGCTGCTGCCTCAGCACCGGCGGAAGATGCTGGGGGGTCTTTCGTCTCTGTCGGTTCGGGCCCCAGCCGGGAGGACCCCCCGTTTCCTCTTGTTAGTAAGAGCCAAGATGTTTATGTGCACACGTAGTTACACGCGGGATAAGGGCTTCTTGGGCTAATAATATACACGACAGGAATACACAATAATATATTAGGTGCATTATTAACATACAGTATATATTACGGTATAATTTATATATATATATATCATATAAAATATGCATTATATTATACATACTATATAAATTATACCATAATACATATTATATATTAATATACATACATTATATATATTATATATATTTTATAGTATATTTTATATATTAATATATACATTTTACTGTAATATATATTATATATTACTAATATATAGTATGTATATTAGTAATAACATACTATATTATTATGTATTACTATTATATATATTATATTACATTATATATATACATTAAATATACATTAATAGATAATATACATTATATAGTAAATAATTGATGTATACACCCCCCCATATGTATATTATTACCCCAAGTACCCCATCACTAGCCACGTATTTACATACTCATTAGCATATCTTTGAATAAATTAGCATAGGCGCGCGGACGCTTTCCAGGCGCCCCTGCCGCTCGTGGCGGGGGGATTTTGCTACATAAATA